TTCTCATTCTAACTTTATTTACCCTCTTGTATTCTTAAGGCATATACTTAGTAAGGGAACTTTCTGCAAACATATAAAATAAAAAGAATTTTTTATGATGAATTCTGTTTCTTCAAAAATATGTTGGGGGGGGTGTCTAGTGAATTTCTCGGAAGAATGAAATCCACCTTAGGTGGCATCAATATACTGGAGAAATACAATCCCCCAAAGTGATCAAACAAACCGAACAGCTGCTGGATGTCCATTAACACAGTGCTAGCAATGAGGTTTTTGATGCATTTTTCCTGGGAGATTTGCATATGAAAGGAGACTAGGAATCACATTCTCTACTGTAAAGTAACTCTGACAGGCCCCAAACAGAGAATATGCCTGTAATTAATAAATGAAATTTACTAAGCTCATTTCCTGTGCATACATCCACCCATTTGACCTACCCTTATGGGTCTATACCTGATACTTGTTAGACAGTTGCGGGAAGAAATGAATCAGAAATGAAGAGATATCATTCAGCTACTTGTCAAGGTGAAGCTTCTTTGATGTTTTCCATCAAGTGGATTCCAAATTATAGTGACCCTACTTTATAAAGGAGAAATGCCCTATAGGATGTCTTAGACTTTAATCTTTATGGGAGCAGGTTCCTAAGCCTATTATCCCAAGGGCTGTAGGTTGGTTCTAACCTTTTGGAAGTTGAAGTTTGGACAAGTGCCAAACAATTGCAACATTAGGGCCTCTCTGTACATATAAACAAAATGTGGAAATGGTAAGCTCTTTGAAGAACCGTGGTAAGCTCTTTGAGGATTACCTGATCATAGGAATCGGCATATGGTAAGTATTTTGCATATATTTATCACAAAGCTAGTCGATCAAAGCATATAGATAGGCTTCAAGTTTTCATCTGAAGAAATTATTCATTACCAAATGTTGATACATTCCCATCTTTATCCAGGCCAGGGCCAATGAAAGCTAACTTAACTTGTACCTAGGCTTTACCCATTAGTCCATTACTAGAGATTTAAAATATTGCCTTAAAGATCAGGTCCCTCAACTTAAACTTCGTGAAATGAATTCTGAATTTTACTTCAACAGATATAAAAATATATGCTGTTGCTAAGCCCACAAAGACTGCAGCCTTGGTGGCGTGGTGGTTACAAGTTGGCCTGTGATCCACCTAGTTTGCAGTTCGAAACCACCAGAAGCCCCTCCAGAGAAAAACTGGGCTCTCTACTCCTGGAAACAGTTACAGGCTCGGAAAACCATAGAGGGTCTCTATGAGTCAGCATTGAGGGCAGTGAGTCTGGTATTTTGAATAAGGCTGCACAAAGAAGCACCTTAGCCTATGTGATCCAAGGATTATAAATATCGAAATTCAAAATCAGAGGTGGAAAATTCTGATTACCTGGTTTGTAGAAGGCTATAGCGGAGAATAAAAGCCCCACATCTATGTACAGAGACTGCCTGTGGAACGAGTCTCCAATGAATGTCCTGGGACCATTGGCTAAAGATGTGAAAAGCCCTGCCCATAGACAGAGTCCATGAGAAAGCGAGCGATTGCAGATATAACTGGCTTAAAATTAACAACTTATTGTTTTCCCTGTGAACGCATTATTAACTTCTATGCAGTGTCATTGAAGAAGTTGTAAATAAATTGTCAGATGAAAACCTAACCTGCTGTATAAACTCGCTGAAAACACAAGAAAAAGTTCCTTAAAAAAATCATGTGTGTTTGCAATGGAAATTCCATGGCTTGTTTCAGGTGTACCTTAGTTTTCAAACTAATACTCCAAAGAGGTCTTACACATCAGATTTACCTAATGCAACTCAGCTTTCGATCTCTCGCCTGCTGCTTCCATGAGCATTGATTGTGATCCAAGCAAGATGAAATCATTGACAACTTCAACCTTTTCTCCAGGTATTGTGATGTTACCTTTTGGTCCAGTCGTGAGGATTTTGGTCTTCTTTACATTGAGTTGCAATCCATACTGAAGGCTGCAATCCTTGATCATCATCAAGTGCTTCAGTCCCCATTATTAGGAAGCAAGCTGTGTCATCTGCACTTTGCAGGCTGTTAATAAGACCCTCCAATCTTGATTACATATTCTTCTTCATGTAATCAAATTTCTATGATTATATGTTCAGCATACAGATTGAGTAAGCATGGTGAGAGAATATAACCCTGTCATACACTTTCCCTGAATTTAAACCAAGCCAGTATTCCCATGATCTGTTCACAAAACTGCCTTTGGGTCCATGTACAAAGTTCACATGGACACAGCGAGATATTCTGGAATTCTCATTCTTCTCAAGGTTATCCATAGTAGCGATGATCCATGCAGTCAAATGGCTTGGCATAGTCAATGAAACACAAGTAAACACATTTTTGGTATTCTTGGCATTGAGTCAAGATCTATTTAACAAGGGAACAATGGTATCCCTTGTTCCATGCCCTCTTCTGAATCCACATGAACTTCTTGCAGCTCTTTATTGATGTACCCCTGTAACTGTTGTTGGATGATCTTCAGAAGAATTGTACTGGCATGTGGTACCAGTGATACTGTTCTGTGGTTTGAGCATTCTGTTGAATCACTTTTATTGGGAATGGGTGGTTCTATCTAGTCGGTTGGCCAAGTACCCGTCTTCCAAATTTCCTGGCATAGATGAGCAAATGCTTCCAGTGCTTCATCAGCTTGCTGACACATCTCAATTGATATGCAATCAATTCCTGGAGATTTGTTGCTGTTGTTGTTAATCCTTTCAGTGCAGCTTGACTTCTTCTTTCAGCACCATTGGTTCTTGCTCATCTGCTACCTCCTGAAATGAGGCAATGTCCACTAGTACTTTGGGGTATAGTGACCCTCATTATTTATTCTTTCCA